CCCTAATTTAGCAGTGTAAGACTAGAAGGAAGGCAGCTAGTCATCACCACCCACCGCCAACTCGTGGGCTACTTTTTACCAATGAATAGTGGGATTGACCGTCACATTATAACGCCCCCACGGCTAAAGGGGCGAGCATGTTTGGCGGGACGGGGATAATATGAATGTAATAAAGTAAGATACTTGTTGTACCACTACCAAGTTCTTTATCTTGGAATGTAGTATCAATAAATAGTTAAATCCCATTCCTCGACGTGCTTTCAGTGGCAGAAGCGAATAATAGTGTTGACATATTTCTCCTGGACAGGGTCCCAGTCCATCGCTTTTTTTAACCCCCAGTCATCAACTTATGCCCATTCTAAAACTTGGACAACTGAAACAACTGGAGAATAGTGTCTTGCCCAAGAAACAAGCCTCGAACACGTAACCTTTCAACTACGAGTCCAAAGCGCTAGCTATCCCCTTTAGTACCAATCTCAAGTCCTTAATTATTAAAGTAAAATACTTACTGTAACAATAATAAAGCCTTGAACTTGAAACGTAGTAAGCTAATATACTTACAGTGCCAGACTTATTACTGTTTTTCATGTTATAGGTTTTCTGGTTGATCAATTTGACGGAAGTGACGTTAACCTTTTCCTTACTACGTACAAAAACACCAATGTTCTCAGTGCTCTTCTGTTCAACCGGAAGTGACGTTTTAACGTTTAATTAACTCCCTTAAAATCATAAGTTTAATGGTTTCCCATTGAATGTCGGAAAGAAACTAAAAAAGAAAATATATTTACTCACTTTGCCTTTTTCGGTTCGAAAATGGTATATTATGTATGTATAATTTACTTTGAAGTTGCCGCAGAATGTTAACGGTAGAAGAGACGTGAGGCGAATTTTTATCGATCTAGTGTGTAGGGACATTAACAATGACCAACAGGGGTTGGGTGACTCAGCTGAAAGTGTGGTTTATTGGCTAAAAACCTTGTATCGTTAGACACCAGATGAAACTCGTTCTAATAGGGAAGTATCTTATATTTAACAACCGATGTTTGCTTAGTTTCAATGAAAGAAAACAATGATGACTTTAAGTTGTGCCATTTCCAGATCTTCACGTGAAAGCAGAACGACGCAGTTTTATTGATAGTAAATCGCACAAAAGGTAAGATGACTTTGATTTAGAAATGCTGTTGTTAATTATGCTTTGCTGGATATTAAGTGTACGTTGGTTGTTTTGTAATAACCGTTATTTGATGATAGCTTCCCAGGAAATTGTTCTCATCAGTGGTGTATTTAACTTACTGTAATCATACTTCATTGTTTGTGTGTGTTATTAAAACATGGAAAAGTGATGTATTGAACTTAATGTCGAAACTAGTTTCCTAGTCTTTCTGCTAATAATTTATTTCAAAAGTTGTTTTTTTCATTACTGAAGTGCCATTTTGTCTTTATTTATCACAAATGTAAAGAAAGTCCTAAGACATGGTATAGGTAATGTACATTTACATTATTTATTTTTCTTTTTATCAGATTTAAACCCGAAACGCGCTATACTTAACTCACCTTTGTCCCTCTATTTTCTTCTTTTCTTTTTTTTTAAGAATAAATTAAAAAGCCCGATTCTTGATGTATTTAACTCACTCTAAATATCCTTCTCGGTCTATGTGTGTGTGTCAAGTCGTCTAGTGAAGACCGTCGGATGCCACATTTTCTTGTAAGACCACGGGTTTCATACAGTAAATCTGTGTTCCCATTGTACATACTTGTACTACTACTAATATGTTGTGACATTAATTAAGAAGTTTTTGTGTCCTGGCTTATACTCTCACAAACATAAAAGTTATCTAAATTATAGATGTTCATGTTTACCAGTGCTGTAAAGTCAGATGCGATTATATAACCATTCTCACGTTGTTCAACTGAAGCTATTCTAATAGTAGGTAAAGTTCAAATCCATAAAAACAGAACAATACCAAATTTATATAGATACAAGTTTCAACTTTTTTACGCGTCCTTTGTGAAACTATTGTTTTTACGAAGTATGTGTATCTAACTTTATGGAATGTATGATTGTTCAGTTCTCGCTGTTTTTACGGAGTATACGTACCTAACTTAATGAAATGTATGATTGTTCAGTTCTCGCTGTTTTTACGAAGTATAGTTACCTAACTTTATGGAATGTATGATTGTTCAGTTCTCGCTGTTTTTACGAAGTATAAGTACCTAACTTTATGGAATGTATGATTGTTCAGTTCTCGCTGTTTTTACGAAGTATAGGTACCTAACTTTATGGAATGTATGATTGTTCAGTTCTCGCTGTTTTTACGAAGCATATGTATCTAACTTTATGGAATGTATGATTGTTCAGTTCTCGCTGTTTTTACGAAGTATAAGTATCTAACTTAATGAAATGTATGATTGTTCAGTTCTCGCTGTTTTTATGAAGTATAGGTACCTAACTTTATGGAATGTATGATTGTTCAGTTCTCGCTGTTTTTACGAAGTATAGGTACCTAACTTTATGAAATGTATGATTGTTCAGTTCTTGCTGTTTTTATGAAGTATAGGTACCTAACTTTATGGAATGTATGATTGTTCAGTTCTCGCTGTTTTTACGAA